CGAGAGAAATAATATTTTAAGCAAATGTGCATTTTTAATGGAAATTCAGAAATAATTCCATTACTGAAATTTTTGAGAAAATACACATTTTTAATAGAATCTTCAAACGATCTTGTTAATAAAATTTTCGAAAATGTGTATTTTTAATGGAATTTCGGAATTAATCCATTACTGAAAATTTGAGAAAATTCACATTTTTTCAATAGAATTTCAAAAAAATCTTGTTAATGAAATTTTGGAAAATGTGTATTTTTAATAATAATTTGAAGGAAATAATATTTTAAGAAAATGTGCATTTTTAATGGAAATGCAGAAATAATTCCATTACTAAAATTTTGAGAAAGTACACATTTTTTAAATCGAATTTCAAAAGAATCTTGTTAATGAAATTTGGAAAATGTGTATTTTTATTAATAATTTGAAGGAAATAATATTTTAAGAAAATGTGCATTTTTAATGGAATTTCAGAAATAATTCCATTACTGCAATTTTTGAAAAAATACACATTTTTAATAGAATCTTCAAACGATCTTGTTAATAAAATTTTCGAAAATGTGTATTTTTATACAAATTTAAAGAAATAATGTTTTAAGAAGATGTACAAATAGAATTTCAGAAATAATTCCATTACTGAAATTTTTGAGAAAATACACACCTTTCAAAAGAATCTTCAAAACAATCTTGTTAATAAAATTTTCAAAAATGTGTATTTTTAATGGAATTTCAGAAATAATTCCATTACTGAAAATTTGAGAAAATTCACATTTGTTCAATAGAATTTCAAAACAATCTTGTTAATGAAATTGTGGAAAATGTGTATTTTTAATAATAATTTGAAGGAAATAATATTTTAAGAAAATGTGCAGTTTTGATGGAAATTCAGAAATAATTCCATTACTAAAATTTTGAGAAAGTACACATTTTTTAAATAGAATTTCAAAAGAATCTTGTTAATGAAATTTTCGAAAATATGTATTTTTAATGGATTTTCAAAAATAATTCCATTACTGAAAATTTGAGAAAATCCACATTTTTTCAATAAAATTTCAAAACAATCTTGTTAATGAAATTTTGGAAAATTTGTATTTTTAATAATAATTTGATGGAAATAATATTTTAAGAAAATGTGCATTTTTAATGGAATTTCAGAAATAATTCCATTACTGAAATTTTTGAGAAAATACACATTTTTAATAGAATCTTCAAAACATGATTTAAATTTAGATGTATTTCTTTTTATAAATTCTTCGGAGATGCATGAGATCTGGCTACCACTATCCACAAGGGCATCAATAGAGGTTTCTTGTATAAGGATTTTTATTTTAGGACATCTTGCTCTTTTTTTAGTTTTTATATTTTCTTTTAGGAATTCCTCTCTCTATTTAAAAGTATTAATTATAAACTCAGTTTGCCCCGTGCACACATTATTCGTGGAGGAGTTTTGTGGCACGGGATGGTTCAGTTTTCCTGATCGGTAAGAGATACTTCTTCTTTTTCTTCTTCCAATTCAATACTTTGAATGTTTCTTGTATTTTTATTAGGATTATGTTTGATTCTGTCATTACTTCTCCAATTTTCTTGTCTCGAGTCCCTTTTTAATGCAGGGGTTTTGTCAGGTTCAGCTTTCCGACTCCTCCAATTCTTCGGGTTGGTTTTATGTTCTGAATTATCCCTTCTTTTAGAATTGATGGGTCCTGCCTTATCAAAAGTTTCAATAATTTCTAAAAAATCTTGTAGATTATTTATGGATCTACTCAATACGCAATTTCTCACATCATCATTGAAATATCGGGATAATTTCCTTATGGTTTCTAGTATAGATAGAGGTGGGTCTAAATACTTAACTTCTCTAAATAATTCAAGGGTATAACTGGTCATAGAAGAATCTTCTGGGGAACGATAGTGTCCAAATTCTAGTCTAGCTCTAATTTCGTGTTGGATGTTGTCTCCCCAGTATCTTCTTTTAAACTTATCCATGAATTCTTGTAATCCATCGTCGGGCGCTTTAACTAGATCCCACCAATCCTTTGCTGCTCCTTTTAAGCAGTTATTAAGCATATAAGGTACATCTAATTTTGTTGGTTTAATGATCAGCCAATAATTTTTTAATTCTTCCAAAAATTTCATGGGTGACGATCTCTCCGCGTATAATGGATTTTTACAATTAAATCTAAGTAGACTGATTTCATTGTGACTGTGGTTTGGGGAGTAAGAGCATTCTTCGAAGATCCTCAGTCGTTCCTCCATTGAATCTTGTTTTTCTTGTAAATTCTTCATTTGTTCCTCACCTAAGTGGATCAATTTAGCTTGATTATTGTTTTCCACTTCAATAGCTTTTTTAACTAATTTTTCTATCGACGATATTCTTGTGTTGGTAGTGTGTCTTAAATCGTTGGTTTCCTTTCGCACTTCGCTGTTCACTCTTATTTCTAAATCTTCCATTTCTTCTCGTAATTGGATCTTGTCATTCTCTACTTTATTGTCAATTGCATAAAACCATTCGTTGAATTTTCGCTGCTCTTTTTGCATCACTTCCATGTTGGATTTCATTTTTCTTAACTCCATCATGAACTCGCTAGAGTCATATGCATTTAATTCATCCTGAATGGATTGTCCAGGCAAAGGGTCTGGAATTATTGGAAAATTACTTAAATGTTTAGAGATAATATACTCCTCAGCACGTTCTGGTTTTTTCGTAACTTCCCCTTCTTTTTCCTTAGTGATAGTGGGATTGAATAGTTCTTCAAGATTAAGTGGAGGTTCAGAATTGGTATCATTTTTCTGCTTACGTCTTCTTCCTCGGCGAGAGGCTGTAGATGTAGACATTTTTCTTCATTTTTTTTTGTATTTTATTTAACCTTGGGCCCCACGTTGGGCGCCAATTGTAACGGTTCGTTTTTATCAATTTAATATTTTATAAATTTTAAAATTTTAATTTGAGGCCCAAGGAGTTTTTTCTTGAATAAAATACAAAGAATATGAGATACATATATATTTTTTATTGAATATAACACTCACCATTCACGCTACAATTGTATATGTGTATTATGTGTTATATGTGTCTAGTGTTAGAGTGAATTGAGTTCCTGTATATACAAAAAAATAAATAAAAAAGTTGGCAGAGATATAATTGAACCTGCAATAAAGATTAATTGAAAAATGGATGCAGAGGTATTAATGAACCTGCAATCTAAAGAGTTGAGAATTTGATCTCCTAATGTACATGCACATATATATGGGGCATTCCACGTCAACCAAAGACCCCCCGCCCCACAGTGAGAAAAAAATGACCCTCTGTGGACAAAAATCTACCGACAACACAAATCTTAACCGATTTTAATATTTATTTTTTCTAAATACTCGGAGACGTTTTTCCTGTAACGCACAACTGCGATAAATTTGATTTATTTCAAACTAACCTTAAAAATGATACATATATATGAAATTACGTTATTAGGATGGTTTAAAAAATGGAAAAATGATTAATTTTGATACAGCAGAGAGTATTGTGAACCCTTTTTGATCACTGAATGCGAATTTGACATTAAAAATGCAAAATTTTAAAATTCAAAATGGCGGATGCAATATGGCAGGCAATGTTTTATAAAAGTCACCAAATTCACTCGAAAGTTGTTATTCAGGGGTTTTTAAGGTCGCTGGTTACGAATCTGAAGTCAAATTTCAAAAATTCAAAATTGCGGATCCAATATGGCGGATAAGAAAATCAAAAACTAATTGGATTTGCTTGAAAGTTGTTACACGGGGGTTTTTTGGGTCGCTGATTACGAATCCGATGTCACATTTCCAAAATTCAAAATGGTGGATCCAATATGGCGACCAAAAAAAATTTGAAATTCACTAGATTTGCTTAAAACTTGTTACTCGGGGGTTTTCGGGGTCACTGATGACGAATCTGATGTTAAATTGTCAAAATTCAAAATAGCGGATATAAAATAAAAAATTAATAACTTTTTAAAAATTTGATCGCCATATTGGATCCGCCATTTTGAATTTTTGAAATTTGACTTCAGATTCGTAATCAGCGACCCTAAAAACCTCCAAGTAACAACTTTCATGCAAATTTAAAAGATAAATTGTCGTATCTTCGTTAAATATTTATCAATTTAGTTTAGATTTGGTATACATGCGCCTTCAAGTCAATTAAAAATGAAAATATAATGAAAAATAAAAAAAAATTAATTGTTTTATAATAATTAATTGTAAATAGAGAACGGTCGATAATAGCGTTTTATTGACCTTCGCAGAAAAAAAATCTGCCGGGAACAAATTGATCTATAATTTTCCAGAAAACTTCTTTATATAATTATAAACAAATGTCTTACTGGAAGTATGATCAATTTTAAAGTTCCTCGCATACTTTTTGTTGGCGAAGGTTAAAAACGCTATTATAGACCGTTCTCTTTTTAAAATTAATTATCATAAAATAATTATAATATTTTTTATTTTTCATTATATTTTCGTCTTCAGTGGATCTAAAGGCGTGTGTATACCAAATATAAATTAAATTGAACAATATTTAACAAAGATACAACAATTTATGTTTTAAAATTCAATAAATTTTGAGAATTTTAATTCGTCGGTTTTTCTTAATTATTAACTAAAATATACGTTGTACAAAAAAAATAAGAGGAAAAAAGATGCGCCTTTTAATTTTTTATAAGGTAGTAGGTTTTAAAAATCAAAATTTTTAATTTAAATTTTTTTCACTATTTTATACACTGAGAGAAGTTTAACGCAACATCTGCATTTTTTGAGGGACAGATATTGTACCACAATTATGTACAGACGCAGTACTAAAATCGAACAGCAGCAGCGCCAATTGAGTACTGATTCTGACCTAACTTGTGGGACAAACGATTTAGTACAGTATCTGTCCACCAAAAAGCGCAGCTGCGATACAATTTAGAACCGATGTTGCTCGAAAGGTTAGGTACACTATCTGAACGTGTGTTTAGTACGAAATCTGTGTTTAACTTCTCTCAGTGTACCTCTGACTGGCATTGGAGCATGTGTCGGAGCGCTCGGTGAGTTCTTCTTCCCGAGGCCTCAATTGAGGGTAGCTTTAATTTTTCATTACCTGCATCATTTTCGATGATATTAATTTCCAAAGGATCTAAAAAATAAAGAAAAAAAATAATTAAAAGTTCTTAATTATATTTTTTCTGTTTTGAATTATAATACAAGAAACAAAAATAAAAAATATTTGTAAATTGGAAAAGTTAAAATTTGTCATTACCTTCAGCAATTTCACTGCTGTTACTTTCCAAGGAATCTGAAAATATTTTTTAAATCATTTTTTAACTATTTTTTTAGACAAATCAATTAAATTAAATATTAAAATTCAATTAAAAGTGAACTTAAGAATTAAAAAAAATTATTAATACGTACCAACATTATTTTCTTCCTCCGACATGTCGTCTCCATCATCTTCAGCAGCTACAATTGTGGATGGATAGACTGCAGCATAATCTTTTTTTTTTTAAAAAAAAAATAAGACCTTAGTAATTAAATTTTTTTAGTAGAAATTATCATAAAATTAATAAAATTTGTGAATTTATATTATAGACAATTTAATCATATCATGAATCTTGATCAAGAATCACGGTCGCATAATTGCTCAATTTTATTTAAGGAAAGAGTGATTTTTCATACATTTTTATCTTGAAACATATACATGAAAAATAAGAAAATACATTTTTTTTAAATAAAATCTGCCATTCAATTAATTTAATTCAATTCAAGGGGATTTCAAAATTTTTAATATAATATTAAGTGTTACTTACTATCATCAATTAATATCAAATTACCCTCTTCACTGGGTTCATTAATTTGCGCAGTTATAAATTCCATTCTACGTTCTGAATTTGTATTGCTGCAAATTTCCAAAAATTCTTCTACAGAAATTGTCTCATCCTCTAATGAATTCCATGCTCTCTTTAATGATGTGTCCAATAATCGATTACAGATTTTTCTACTTTTAATATCCGCAGTGATGTTGTCTACCAGTTTTAAATAATCTGCATAGCTTTGTTTTTGCAAAACGACAATTCCCTCTGTAAATATTAAAAATAAAATTGTAAAAAACATTTCACAACATTAAAATTATTAAAAATAAATGAATTTTGAAAGATTTACAGTTGAAAGTTTTAATAATAATTGAATTTCAAATTATTTTGTTGAAGTTCACAAAATAATTAAATTTTGCTGAATTGAAAAAAATTTATCAAATAATTTTATATAATATTTTTTAAAAGTAATTGAATTTTTAAAAAAATTACAATTTAGATTTTTGAAATTAATTGAACTTTAAGCGATTTTTAAATGAAATTTTTTATGTAAACCAAGTCCGTTTTTTGAGCTAAAAGGCTGGAATAAATTATTATTATTATAATTATTATTTATTAATTGAAATTTTTGGTAACACACGGACAAAAATTCAATTGTTCACGTGGGAATGTCCAACAATCAAATAATTAAATTAAATTAAAATATTGTGATCGATTAATAATTATTAAGCTTATTTTATCCATTTTATTTATGTTTTTTTATTATTAAATTTCTTTAGATGTCGAATTATAACTAATTTTTAGGACTTTAGTTTAAAATAAAAATTTTGAGGTAAGTACAAAAATTTGTTTAAAATTATTGCGATAATTGACCTGAATATTTTACTTACTCACGAAATCCCATGGTGTAGGGAATGATCCCATAAGTGTATGTAAGCGGCAAGAATACAATTCAAAAATTCGTGATATACGCTGCAAGTCCCTGTACACTGAGAATCTTTTGGGGGTAACTCTTCTAATCCATTCACGATCGAAAGTTAATGCGAATAAAAGAATAGATTGAAAACATTCGTCGCTTAAATTTCTTTTTAAATTATTAAAGGCACTTTCAATTTTTTTTTTGGTGGCAAGAGAGGTAACGTTAAAATTTGCATGAGAAATGTTTTGACTTCAATTTCATTCGTCGATAAAAACTGTGTGTCCAAATTTAACAAAATTATCAGCTTGTACATTTCCTATAAATAAAATAAAACGATTCTTTTTTATAAATTTAAAATAATCAGTAGTTTATAAATAACAAAGAATACAAAATGACCAAATTTTAAAGTGGTAGGTAAATACAGGGATCACAGTTCTTTAAAACTATTTAAGATAAAAAATGGCACAGAAATATGGAAAAGTGTGTGATATGAAAAGAAGAAAGGGGAATTGAAATGAGGGTAAATATAGTTTGATATATTATTATATGCAAGACCCTAAAGTTAAATTATTTTCTAAAAATGGATGACAAGAAAGTGATAAAAAAAATAATAGTTAAACAAATTAATAAATAAATACAGTAAAAATACACTACCTTAGTGTACTCCAAAAGACTGCCATAAATGTTTGATGCAGGGAAAATTTCTCTGATGGCTGCTTGCATTTGATAAAAAGCTTCTAGCAAAATCAAGATCGAGAAAAATTACAGCAGTAGTTGAATTCACAGTTATTAAATTTAGGTGTCTGGCGTCGTAATTTAAAATAAAACTCCATCTTTGGGACCTCAAAATGTCTGCAAACATTAACATTGTAGTTGGAACTTCGGGCAGATTTGTTGCTCTCCATCTAATCATATTACCGTGTACAGCTTCAAACGGAACACCTATAGCGGCATCGCCATGCCTACAATGAAATAAATAAAAAAATTTTTTGTTCAAACACAATTTACATTTTTTTTGACATTGAAAATACATGAAAGATTCTTATTTAAGAAACATATATGCAAGTGTTCATTGACTGTTACATCCCGGTAACAATTTTCCCTAATTTTCCTTAAAATTATCGTTAAAATAAGACATTTTTCTATGATAATTTTACAATACTTAAACTATATGTCTTATTTTAATGTATTTACTTATGTATATATTGCTAGGATAGAATGTGAAAACGAAATCGATATCAAAAGAGATATGACATTCGTTTTCACCATAAAAGTTCAGAAAGTTGAAAAGCTAAAAATAGGATATATGTAAGCAAAATGTGAAGCAAGTTCGAGCTTGTTGTTTATGCGCGTGAAGAATGCGAAGGTTGTGAAGATCCAAGTGTAATATGATCTTCAAAAGCCCATTGTCAGCAAATAAAAGAGAGAATTCAGAAAGAAGAAAATTCAATGTCATACATGCGATGTAGATCATTACCATATAAGGAAAGTGATTCTATTTATAGATCACCCCTTCCCCAATAATATGACATTTCTCCCACTAATTAGCATAATCGAACTAGTATATAAACAAGAGCTTTTTCCATAAAGCTTGTCAAAAGTTCCGGTGCAATCTCTAACATCGTAGAGCGACCCTTCAGTTTACTTTCGCCCTAATTATTGTATTCTTTCCTGATAGCCAATAGGTGCAAGTTAATTTGACTTTTCACTTAGAACATAGTTCTTTCCTGATAGCCAATAGGTGCAAGAGAAGCAAATTAACACTTAGAATCAATAATTTAATAGAAATAACTGTCGTATTTATAACTATAAATACTAAAGAAATCTTGCATTATCTCTTTTTCTAAATTTGTCAATTTAGTGTATGTTGCTTCTCTTACACCTGCTATAAAATTCATTCCTGTCAAAGGTGCGAGTGACGAGAAATAACAATAAAGAACATTGCAATTCTTTAAATAGTTATAAAACAATTTAAGTCGTTAAAGTTACACAAGTGCAACCAAAACGAACTATTTCAAATCAAATCAAAGCCAATTATAACGACTAAGCTATAATCATCGATTTATCCGACTTCATTGCTAAAAGTAAGTAAAAGAATTGTAAACTTGTATCATTATTGTATAATCATTACTATATAATTATTATTTAATCAATAAATGTTATAAAAGGGAATATTTGACTTGTTATTGTAACGCAAAACCCGTAGTTTTGACAAGTGACCACGATCCTACATAAAAATAAATATCAGGCTTTACCAACCTGATTAATCAGCCTTATTACATTCAAGTAAATAAAATTCATTTTATTTAAAAACCACGCCTAGTTCGGAACGTAACAGCTGATTTGGTGGCAGCGGTGGGATTTGTCACTTTTGTTGCAAAAACAATTTTATGAAAATTCTCAAATAATTCGGCATATTTATTTAGAACAAATTTCAAAATTTTTAAGGGTTCAAATTTATTCAAAATCAATTATATCACCCTTATAAACACATCATATTTCATTAAATGTTTATTCATATACTTCACTATAAACATTTGTAAACGGTCATTTTAAATTCTCTAGCAGTTTTGTTCTTACGCCGTCCGGCGAATTACAGAATCTGTTATATTTTCATTTTACGCCGTCCGGCGAACTTGAGAATTAGGGTGTTTAAAACTGACTGTTTAATAAATTCATAAAATCATTCAAAATCTTATTGAGTAAGCTATTTTTACGCCGTCCGGCGAACTATAGCTTTGAAAATTGGAGATCTACGCCGTCCGGCGAGGTTTTCATATCAATAAATTTTGATAATATCATTGTTTGGAATTTTGAGGTCTTAGCAGGGTCAATTTTACGCCGTCCGGCGAATTTTGACTTTGTATTCGACGTTTTACGCCGTTCGGCGAATTCTGTCTAAGCCCTTGGTTTACACAAACAATTGAAAAGAAGTCTCAATTTTTGATTTATTTGTAATATCAATTTTCTAAAATAACAATGTTATTTTCAGTCAGATTAGATTATGCCAGATAAACCTAAAATTGATAGAAAACCCAGAAATAGAGGAGGAACAAACGCAAAAAGGCGATTTGATAAAACCGATAATCTTAATATAACAATTCTTCAAAATCAACAAGATTTTTCTACATTCTTCGATTTACTATTACATCAAACAGAACAATTAATATCCGTAAACAAGAATTAAAATAAAAAGGTTATAATAACATTCCTAATGTATTTTGTTTATTTTATTACATTCCTTGTATATGTAATGTTTTTCGCCATAGTTTGGTGGACAGTTTATTATTAAAAATTCGGTTAGTAACCACAAATGAATAATTACTTCTCAATTCTTGAATATAATCAACATAATTATCCTTACGTTGAATTAATCTCAGGTAATTTTAAATCACATAAAGGTAATTTTCTTATTGATCATACATTAACAATAAATTTGGTAAAAGAATCAGCAATATCATCGTTTGTATCTATAGATAAAAACGTCATAATAACAGCAAGACAAGGTGCAATTTGCACAAGTGGTAGTACATTAATAGAATTCAGCGATTTTTCTCTAAGATTTGAAACTATCGATTATCAAAGTGAAACAGAAATTATTGGAATTCTTGGTGCGCCATTTCTCGATCAAATTTATGAAACAAATTATTTCAATAGAATAGCAGTTTTTTATGAAAGAGCAATTTGGAGACGTGAAATCTCTATCCAAGGCCGAATCAGACGCCGTATTATCACTTTTATCCGAAACTTCTCTTTCCGAAGAATTCCAATACTAAATAGAATTCTTAATGAATAGATACAACAACGAAATTTCATTTAATTTAGTTATTTACCCAAATATCCACATATCTTCCCAAAATTTAAAAGAAAATAGAGGACTCTTCATAGTTAATCCTTGTTTAGATATTAACCTGATTAACGAAAATAAATTGGCTCCAGGTACAACAATTAATAGATCCGAATCTCTATTATTGACTCCAGGACCAATATTCACCTCAGGAACAGTATCAATAATAATTGCGCATAAACCTATCAAGTTTCACACCTACATTAATAATCAACAACCCGAATTGACAGGTGTTCTTGGATTATCTTTTCTTAACACAGATCCTAGTGAATTTCGGTTATAACTTTACATAAAATTGTATATAATATACAATATTAATCAATATAGTTTTCGACATTGATCATAACAAAAATTTCAAATTTCACAGGATCATTCTTTTTAATATAACTAATCGATAGGACAAAAACAAAAATTTTAGATTCCCAAAATTTGAGAGAAATTTAAGTTTACGTAAAGCCCCCTTGAGAAAAGATATCAGGCGAATATACTAACATAAGAGGTTGCAGTTGCAAACAGGCGCGAAAGTTTGATTTTATACTCTCGCACTACTGTCTAGCGCCAAGTGCCTTGGTCCGTAAGTAGTACAGGACGAGTTGTGTCAGACAGACAATAGTCCGATAACACTAAACTCCCTAGTAGCAATACGGCTATACGGTTCCAAGCCGCCATTATCCGTATTCCCCTATGAACTCATACTTTCATTTTATTGAAAAATATAATCAATTATATCCAAAAATTCTTTTGGAATCATATTTCTTTAAGGATCACGAGTGTTTATTCATACTTGATCCATCTTTACCAATCAATTTAATTAAAGAAAGTGAATTAATTCCCTTTTTAGGAATAAATCGCATAATTAAATACTCCTTAAGAGATAGTACAATCAACACTATCGGAGAAGCAAAAGTTTGCATCAATTACACAGTTTTAGAATTCCAAACTATTAATAGTGAGAGTAATTCTAATATTGTTGGAATTTTAGGGTTACCATTTTCATTTGATATAATTAACGAGATATTTTAATTATTCCTTCCGTTTTTAGTAAACTTATAATCATGGCTACAGATAGACCACAAACAAGTAATTTATCCGGTAATATTGATAGAACTTTAAATGATGCCATGATAACATCAATGGCTGAGTGTTTTGCGTTGCAACAGGGCATAATGAATATTCCTTTTTATGATGGTAAAAACATTCCT